CCTATGCTAAGCTTGGCCACTCTTCTTGTTGGCTTCATTACACAACCCCAAAGTGCCCTGGCCCTCCAACCCCACCATACTCCCAAAGCAGCCTTGTGCACAAGGCCTTCCCACACCAGTCGGGAAATGCACACCTCTTTGGAGGAACCCTTTGGTTCATCTGAGCCACAGGGATCAGATTGGGCAAAATCTTGAGGGGGAAGCCTCCATTCAAGATTCTCCTGTGCTCCATGGCACTGGCCAGGCCAGAATTTCTTACCCATCCTTAATTCTCTTAAGAAGGTGGCACTGAGCTGCCTTCTTGAACCATTGTGCCCATGTCGTGTGGTTTGGAAGGTAGCTCGATGATTTTGACCCAGTGCCAATGAAGGGATGCCGACATAGTTCCCAAGTCAGGATGGTGTTTGACTTTGGGGGGGATTTTGCAGGGGTTGGTGTTACCATATATATCTGTCACCTTTGTCTCTCTCGTTGATGGAATTTGCGTATTTGGGATAAAAGATCTGTCGTTAGAGAGACACTAAACATTACTATTTTGATCTTTAATTACTTTCCATATCCCACTGTTCATGATGTAGGACTTGTTAATCACCCTGAATTCTTAAGTAGGTTCAGGTTGATAAAATCCAATCGATCAATGAAGTTTGCTCTGAAGGCCTTGAACTGACTTGAGGGCTTACGTGTGAATTTAGGAATCAGGAGCAGGAGGAGGCCATTCTTGAGCCTGCATCACTATTTGATAAGATCCTGGCTGATAAGATTATGGTCTGTACTTTCCTGTCTAACTCCGATAACTTTTAAATTGAGAATCTATTTAACTCAGCTGTAAAAATATTCAATGACTCTGTCTCCACTACACTCTGGGGAAGAGAAGCCCACAGGCTAATGACCCTCGAACAGGGAAAAAAAAACCTCATCTCTTCCTTAAAAAGGAACATTTGGTTTTTAGACGGTCTACTCACTATACTTGAGGATGTTACATTTGCAGAAATGAAGCGATTACTATGCAGTTATGTCTGAAAATTAAATGAGAAATGTTTTGTAAAATCAGATGCTGTTACTTTTTTCAAAAACCAATGAAAATGACCTTCTGTTGCTCCACCCTGCTACTCCAGAGAGCTCAGATATTGTTGGGTTTGTTATGTCTTGAGGTTTGGAGCTAGAGGGGTCTACTCCATGGACCATTGATCTGTCGACTTAAGTTAGCGTGGGACAGTGCACCAGTCTGGCAGAGAACACAGTCGCTAAGGAGGAGGGAGGAAAAATAGGTCAGAGAAAGAGAGCCAGTTAGTGGAAAATAGTCTGGATGGGAATCAGAAAATTGAAAGAGAAACCAGATATAAGCCTTGGTATGAGTGAGGGATGGCAGGGGAGAATAAAGGAATAACAAATACTTTGGGAGGGAGGGAGAATATATACAAGCTGTTGAATAAAATGGAGAATGAAAAATTAGATATAAAAAGGGACAAGGGAAATGTGGTAAAATATAATGTGAAGGGCAGTTAGCACATGAGAGGTTGCCTAAGTGGTGACTTGAATGGCAAATGAACATTGGCAACAGGTAGACCTTCTTCAGAGCTAAGGCAAGGGAGAGTGGTTGCATTGTCACTTTAACCATCAAAGGCCTGATATTCTGCTCAGCTGGTGCCAACACACACACACACACACACACACAGTTTTCAAAGTAAGAGCTACTTTTGCCTTAATGTTTCAAATGTTTGGCACATGTGACCAGGGAAGTGTGTTGTTTGCGAAATGCAAATGCCTTCAGAGGCAGCAGGGGATTTTACAACCTGGTTGAATTGTAATCCAACTCCGCCCCACGAAATTATCAGGTTCTTGCTGTTCAGGGATGGCAGTTGATCAATACAATTTGGTGTTGGATGATCCTGTAACAAGATACCATCAAACAACTCAGCATCACCACCAGAAGCAGCATCCCATCTCATAATTACTGAGGACCAGCTGTTGTTTTAAACTTGCGCTCTCTTTTGAAATGTAGCACTGAAAGTGTCGGCGTTATCAAGTTGTTAAAATTTCATTGTGACAATCCTCTGTTGTTGCTATTTGCCTCCTTGTGCTTGTGCTGAGGACTTAGTTACTTCTCTCCATGTTGCTAACAGATGGAGGAATTGAGCAGCCAGATCAGATCTTGTGCTAGTTACGAGGAGTTGCTGGGGAATGGGGCATGTCCACTCTTCAGCACCTTTCATTTTCTATTGCTCTTGGCTACAGTAGAGCCTGGGTTCAAACAGTTCTGCAGATCCACCCATACCTTTTAGCTTCACAAGCATTTTCCCTTTCCCTGACACACTGAGGCGACACTTCCAATTCCTGTCATTCAGGTCTTTCTTGGCCATAACTTGTCAATTTGTGCTGAATTATCTGCAAGGAAAACAGACTGAGATGGAACCATGCCAGCACGCATCTATTTAAGATCCTTTGGGCTGTGAACAGAGGAGACATCCATGCCAATAGCTGAGGCTAGATTTAAGCCCAGGCTGCCAAGGTGAAAGGCCAACATGACAAACCTCCAGTGTCTCTCTCTCGCTCTCTCCGAAACTTGCTGATTTCAGCAGACGAACCAGATGAGGAGGTGATTTTGCTCTCTGGGTGTTCTACTGCAGAGAGAAACACACACACACACACACACACATATATATATATACCTTCCACAGTCTCTGGGACACACACACAGGGCATTAGTATTTCCTTGTAAACATAGTCATGAAACAGAAGTGAAATACAAAGTTCATGAGCATCTCCACGATGACATTACCCATTTGCTGTTAGGTCGACTGTGGCACCAGCACTCGCTCACAAGAAGTGTTTTGTTTGTTACTCGGCTTGTGACTTTCAAGGTAACACGGCCACCTGACTATTTTGTGAATGTGAAATGGAGTTCTGCAGCTTGGGAAGGAGCAAAACCATTTCACTTTGAACTTGACCAGGAATGGAGTAAAAGCATATTGCTCAGCATATTGGAAGCTGAGTGGTTAGTCAGTTGGCAATCTGTACCATGAGCATCAGCGTTGTGTGAATTTACTGATCAGACCAGCCAATGGGTCAGACCACCCTTAGGCAATTAGGCCATGCTTTCACAAACATATTCTTTTGGATGGAAGAGAGAAGGAGGTCCACAATTGTAGGGCCAATACCTCATAATAGGAAAGAGGAAGAGAGTTCCAGAGCATCTGTGATATTGAGTATCTTCTCTCAGACTGGGTACTATATCTCATTGACTGATTAGTAAAGAGCAATCTTCCTTTATTGGAACTGATTACCCACAAACCTATGTTTTTGTGAGACACTCGTTCACCCATCCTGTTACCCCCTAAATACTAACCTCCAACCCAGCAACTTTAATACAGAGAAAGGATTCATCTTAAGAGCATCAAGCTCCATTCCATCCCCAACCTCCAACAACCCAGTTCAATGCTTCACTCCCAGTGTGTGCTGCAAGGCCTCTATTTCCCTCAGGAGGCTAAGGAAATTCAGCATGTCCATGTCAATTTATACAGATGCACTATCTTGGTGCATCAGGAAGTATCACAGGTTGATATGGCGACTGCTTTGCACAGGACGGAAAGAAATTACGGAGAGTTCTGAACACAGCCCAGTCCATCACGCAAGCCAACCTTCTCCATCTATACTTCTCTCTACCTCAGAAAGAGCAGCCAACATCAACAAATACCCCTCCCACCCTGGTTATAACCTCTTCTGAAGATATGAAAGCTTAAACACATGTACCAACAGATTCAAGAGCTTCTTCCCCGCTAATATTAAGTTTCTGAATGGACTTCTCAAATTTTAAATTTAATGTTGATCTTGCCCTTTGTGCACCTTCTCTGCAGCCATAACATTGTATTCCTCGCTTTGTTCTATTACCCCGATGCACTTTGTATGGTATGATCTGCCTGTACTGCACACAAAACAAAACTTTTCAATGTTACACAAATCAAATCAAAAAATTTCCCCAATTTAAGGACAGGCCCTGAGAGCAAGCAAGCCAACTGAGAGCAGACAGCCACTGGAACCTGGCCTGACCCTCCAGCCTATCATATATCTTCCCATAGAGGCTGTTCCTTTTCTCACCCACCCTCTCTTTCTCTCTCTTGCTCCTGCCAACTCCAGTTAGATGTGCTCTTGGAGTTTTCACCATAATACCTTCCGCCTCCGATCATCCTGCCTGATCGACAGACTTTTCCTCCGTCATCCCCCCCAACGAAACCCGCGTCAAAATTCCGTACCTAACCAAAAGAAGGGTTGGTAGAAAAGCAGAGTGAACAGCCTTGGGAACACTCACAACAATATCTGGGAGCTCAAACTCGCTTCCTTCTTCCAACAATGGCCCCATCTATTGGCTGGGGACGAGATTGCATGAGGGTGAATGGGGACTCAGTGATGCTGGGTGCGCAGTAAGTCGAGTTTTAAAAGAAATGTAAAGGTAGCGACTGGGAACTAAGCAGCAAAACCTCCAATCTGGTACAGAATGCAGCCAGCTGAACAACATCCGAGGATACAATGCGGTAACTCGGTGTCAATACGAACGAGCAGCGGAAGCGAAAACAGTGAAATGGCACTTTTGTTCTTCGATGCTTAAATTCCAGCCCAGTTTACTGGTGTCACCTTGAAGTCTTATGTTTTGAACTACAAATCCCTTGACCTCTTTGAAGTGAAACAGGAACCACCCCACCCCCTCTTTGCAGATGGTTTCCAAAGAACTTTTCAAAAAAAAAGTGCAACGAGACTGGCTTGGTCTCTCATCTTGTTAGCCCCGAAGGAAGAATGTTCAGACTGATGCCCTGCAGATCAGGTTGAGTGCTGGGCCTTCATCGATGAGAATAGAAGGGGGTAAATTCCTTTATTGGAACCTGTTGTTCAAGGCCATGTGTTTCGTTTTTGCAAACTCTCTTATACCTTCACCTAATAGAGAAAAATAAAATCGTCTCCCACTCTCCGTCTCCCAAAGATCCCTCCCCGACAACCGATGCCCCAGTTCAGACCTCAGTACTTATAGCCCTGACGCCCACAAACATCTCCCGCACGGTGTTCTGCCTGCTCATCGGGAAACCTTGAAGCGATGGCACCTTGAGGGGCAGCCCCGGCTCTTTGTAGTGGGCGGGAGCGTACGAGATGCCTTCGCCCCCGTTGCGCATTTCGTCGGCGGTCCGAATGTAAAAGGGCGAGCAACTGGGACATGAGCCCCTCGTGTTTGTCTGGCTGAGCTCCCCTGGCAGTGCCAACTGAGGGACCAAACCATCCATGACTTGCGCATTGCACGAGTTGCAAGGGAAGTGTGGGTGAGCGGGTAAGTCCGAACATTCCTCCTCCTCGTCTGATTCATCCTTTTTGCAGCAGTAATACTGGGAGGGGACAAAGAGACAGAAAGCTTGACTTAGATGAAGCCAGCAATAAATAGCTTGCTCTGCCCATCCCAATGTGTTCCTGCCTGGCATCCCACGTGCAAACCTAAAATTCTGCTGCCCACACCCCAACTCTAACCAATCCCCCTCATCTGTCACCCTTAAGCTTGCAGACCAACAATGCTGCAATGTTTATCCTTGTTTTCCAATTTCTCCACGGTCTTGTCTCTTCCTCCCAATCTCTATAACGTCTTGTGACCCTGCAAACCTTCAGATCTCGGTGTTTTTCAAATTTTTGCACATCCTCGATTTTAATCACTTCACCAGAGGGTAGCTGTGTCTGTAGCGCCCTGTGTCCCAAGGTCTGGAATTCCCTCCCTAAACTATTCCACCGCTCATATTTGCTTACACCCACCTTGATACCTGTTTCTTACTCTAAGCTGTAGGCCATCTGTCCTAGAATAGAAACAGAAACATAGAAGATAGGAGCAGGAGGAGGCCATTCGGCCCTTTGAGCCTGCTCCACCATTCATCGTGATCATGGCTGATTGTCCAACTCAATAGCCTAATTCTGCTTTCTCCCCATAACCTTTGATCCCATTCACCCCAAGTGCTATATCTCGTCACCTCTTGAATACATTCAATGTTTTGGCATCAACTACTTCCTGTGGTAATGAATTCCACAGGCTCACCACTCTTTGGGTGAAGAAATGTCTCCTCATCTCCGTCGTAAATGGTCTTCCCCGAATCCTCATACTGTGACCCCTGGTTCTGGACACACCCACCATTGGGAACATCCTCCCTGCAGCTACCCTGTCCAGTCCTGTTAGAATTTTATAAGTCTCTATGAGATCCCCCCTCACTTGTCTGAACTCTAGCGAAAACAATCACAACCTAGTCAACCTCTGCTCATACGTCAGACCTGCTATCCCTGGAATCAGCCTGGTAAACCTTCGTTGCACTCCCTCAAGAGCAAGAGCATCCTTCCTCAGAAATGGAGGTCAAAACTGCACACAATATTCCAGGTGTGGTCTCACCAAGGCCCTGTATAACTGCAACAACACATCCCTGCTCCTGTATTCGAAACCTCTCGCAATGAAGGCCAACATACCATTTGCCTTCTTTACCGCCTGCTGCACCTGCATGCTTACCTTCAGTGACTGGTGCACAAGGACACCCAGGTCCTGCTACACACTCCCCTCTCCCAATTTACAGCCATTCAGGTAGTAATCTGCCTTCTTGTTTTTGCTTCCAATGTGAATAACCTCACATTTATCCAAATTATACTGCATCTGCCATTGATTTGCCCACTCAGCCAACCTGTTGAGATCATGCTGAAGGATCTCTGCATCCTCGTCACAGTTCACCCTCCCACCCACCTTGATATCATTTGCAAACTTGGAGATGTTACATTTTGTCCCTTCATCCAAATCATTAATATACATTATCAATAGCTGGTGTCCCAGCACCGATCGCTGTGGCACCCCACTAGTTACTGCCTGCCAATTTGAGAAGGACCCATTCCTACTCTTTGTTTCCTGTCTGTCAACCAGTTTCCTATCCATCTCAATACACTTATCCCAATCTTGTGCGCTTTAATCTTGCACATTATGTGTATTTTTGTCAAACGCTTTCTGAAAGTCCAAATATACCACATCAACTGGCTACCTCTTGTCAACTCTACTAGTTACATCTTTGTAGAATTCCAACAGATTTGTCAAGCATGATTTCCCCTTCTTAAATCCATGCTGACTCTGTCTGATCCAGCCACTGCTTTCTAAATGCTCCGCTATAAAATCCTTAACAATGGATTTGAGAATTTTCCCCATTATCGAAGTTAGGCTATCGAATGTTTGCCATCGAATATCCACTGTCATCCCTTTAAGGAACTCTCCCCAATCTATCATGGCCAACTCACACCTCATATCCTCATAGTTTCCTTTGTTAAGGTTCAGCATCCTAATCTCTGAATCAACAACCTCACTCTCTATCTTGATAAAAAAATTCTATCATGTTATGGTCGCTCTTCCCCAAGGGGTCTCATACAGCTAGATTGGCAATGGTTCCCTTCTCATTACACAGCACCCAGTCTAAGACGGCCTGCTCTCCAGTTGGTTCCTCTGCATATTAATCAAGAAACCATCCTGTGTACACTCCAGGAATTCCTCCTCTACAGCATTGTGGCAAATTTGATTTGCCCAATCTATGTGCAAATTAAAATTACCCATGATCACCGATATTCCCTTATCACATACATCTCTAACTTCCTGTTTAATGCCATTCTCGACATCACCACTGCAGTTTGGGGGTCTATATATGACACCTATTAATGTTTTTTGCCCCTTGGTATTTCTCAACTCTACCCATACAGACACCACATTGTCAGCGCTAATATCCTTTCTCACTATTGTGTTAATTTCCTCTTTAACCTGTAATGCCACTCCACCACCTTTTCCATTTTGCCTGTCCTTCCTAAATTCTGAATACCCTGGGACATTCAGTTCCCATCCCTGGTCACCCTGCAGCCATGTCTCCGTAATCCCAACTATATCGTACCTGTTTACATCTCTCTGTGCGATTAGTTCATCCACTTTATTGCAGATGCTCCACGCATTAAGGCACAAAGCCTTTAAGCTTGTCCTTTCAACAGTATTTGTCTCCTCCTTATTTTTCTCAATAGACCTGTTTGAATCTACTCCTTGGCTTCTCAGCCTATCACTTTTCTTATTCACCTTTCTAGCTTTTGTTTTTGTCCTTGCTGTCTTCTTCTCTGACTCTTTACACAGGCTCCCATCCCCCTGCATATTAGTTTAAACCCTTCCCAACCGGTCTCACGAACATTCTAGCAAAATCTCCTTGAGTGACCCAGTGTCGAGTTAAATCTAAAAATGCTCCCATGAAGGGCCTGCATTATCGCTGCTGCTTTGTAAATGGACGAGTTGTTGCAGTACTAGAGTAGAACAGTGGTTTAGCCTGCTTGGAAAAATTCAATTTCACTTCCAATTTCCACCCTGCCCTCACCATTACCTGGCCCATCTCCATCTCCTTCCTTCCCTTCCTGAACATCTCCATTTCCATTTCTGGTGGAATGGGTTGGCCACCGATGTACACTATGAACCTACAACTCCCTCAACTATACACTCTCTCACCCTGCTTCCTATAACCACTCCATCCCATTCTTCCAGCTTCTCCATCTCCGTTGCATCTGTTCTGACGATGCCACCTTCCGCAGGGGGTGCCTCACAAATGTCCACCTTCTTCCTCGACTGAGGATTCCCCAGCACCATGGTTGACGGGTCCCTTTGCAGTATCTGACCCATCTCCTGCATTTCGGCCCTCACCCCTTCTCTTTCCTCCCACAACGAAAGTAGGGTCCCTCCGGTCCTCACTTACCATCCCACCAGCCTCCCCATCCAAAGGATTGTAAGTTGCCATTTCCACCACTTCCAGCGGGATGCCACCACCAGATGCATATTCCCCTCCCCTCCCTTGTCCGCAAGGACTGTTCCCTGGGGAAACCTTGGTCCAATCCTCGTCCACTGCCAACACCCCTCCCCCCACGCTCCTATGGCACCATCCCATGCAACCGCAAGAGGTGTAGCACCTACCCATTTGCTTCCTCCCTCCTCACTATCCAAGGCACCAGACACACCTTCCAGGTGAAGCCGCAATTCACCTGCACTTCACTCAACTCAGTCTACAGCTTTTGCTGTTCACAATGCGGTCTTCTCTACACTGGGGAGACCAAACACAGGCTGTGAGGCTGCTTTGCAGGACGCCTCTGCTCTGTCTGTAAAAATGACTCTGAACTTCCAGTCGCCTGCCATTTCAATACACTGCTGTGCTCCCACTCCAACATTTCTGTCTCAGGCCTACTGCAGTGTTCCAGTGAGTCTCAGTGCAACTTTGAAGAATAGCATCTCATTTTCCACTTGGGGACCCTGCAGCTTCTGGGACGCAACATTGATTTCAACAACTTCAGAGCTGGATTGCATCCTTCGTATTTTTCACCCTCCTTGCCCCACACCTGGTCCTGTTTTGACATGGGGTTCTTTTAGCACAGTCAGAGACAACGCAGTGTGGAGCTGGAGGAACACAGCAGGCCAGGCAGCATCAGAGGAGCAGGAAATTTCTGAAGAAGGGTCCCGACCCGAACCGTCAACTTTGTTCCTCTGATGCTGCCTGGCCTGCTGAGGTCATCCAGCTCCACACTGTCATATCTTTGACTCCAGCATTGGCAGTTCTTACTATCTCTGAGTGAGTTATAACCCCATTACGAAGTTCTTGCTATCTTTTTCCACATCACTCAGCACACTAACCCATTTTCTCACTCACTCTTAGCTCTGATAATCTCTGATTCAGCTTTTTTTCTGTCCTGCCCTGCTTAGCATAATTACCTTGTTTTCCTATCCCTTTCATATCTCTCTCTGGGCTCTCTCTGAACTTATTTGTACATCTCTCCCCACACACCTACCCTCCACTTCAGCTTCAGCTTAAATACCACTTTTTCTCAGCTGCCAACAGTTCTGATGAAGAGTCACCTGACCCGAAACATTAACTCTGCTTTCTTCCCCCAGATGCTGCCAGACCTGCTGAGTTTCTCCTGTGATTTCTGTTTTGGCTTCAGACCTCCAGCATCCTCAGTTCTTTGTTTTATTTTAGTTTAGCCTGCTGTGTTCTTTTACCACTAAGTCTAACGCACTGCTGTTAGATGTGTGTCCATCATTGGTTGTTGCTTAGTCAGTAGTCTGTTTTATGAAACTCACTGGCTCAAATCGTGCTTCAGGGACTTGAGAATATAAATTAACGCGACACGCGCTCCCGATTCCATACCAAGGGAGCCCTGTCAATTGCTGCTGTATTTTGGATGAAATGTTTAACTGAGGCCCCCATTTGTCCTCTCAGGGAGAATAAGAGGCATTTTGGCATCATTCTGAAGAAGTGAAATGTGAAATAACTCTGCAGAAGCTGATATCCCGCCACCAAGTCCCCTTTAATTCACACGTGGAAAGTCCTTGTTACTGATCGAGCTCCCTCAGCGCCAGCTCTTAAAAGTGAACAGAGCCTCTGACACAAAAGCAGAAGTTGCGGGAAAAGCTCAACAGGTCTGGCAGCATGTGTGAAGAGAAATCAGAGTTCATGTTTTGGGTCTGGTGACCCTTCCGACGAACTTCTGTTTTTGTTTCTGATTTACAGCATCTGCGGTTCTTTCGGTTTTTATTTAGAACATCTGACAATCTTGTTTATATTTGTCAGCCAGGGATCCCTGATTGGACCAGGCCCCAGTGAAGGAACTCATAGTCTGTATGGTCCACCTGACTTACTGTATTGCACTCACTACAAAGGGGAAATCCCCTTTATGTCCTGTCCCTTAACCAAGACCACAGAAAACGGGGGTCATTTATTCTCCATGCCATTTGCACAAGCAGCCCTGTTTCTTACATTGCAACTTTGAATACATTTCAAAAACTACTGCTTTGATTGTATATAAATTTGGACAGTCCTAAGGCTGGGGAAGGTGTTATAGAAATGCAGTCCGTGATTCTTTATTCATAACATGGCCATTGCTTGCACACTCTCTGACTGTCTACCCTCGATCAGAACCACTGAGAGGGAGTAATAGACGTCAAATTTGCAATACACCCAGTGGTTCATTCATCATTCAGAGCCAATCACTCATCTTTCCTCTCCCCCCATCCTCCATGCTAACAGCCTCCTCCCACCCCTGTTATAGTCAGTCATGTGGCATTTGTAAACGTACCTGGAGTCTACAGTAACAAAGTACACCAATGATACACAGCAGTATCACTGTTGCTAGTATTCCACCAGTGATAACCACAGTTCCAGCTGTCATCCGACCAATTCTCCATCAAACCCTGGAAGAACAAAGGGAGAAAGGGGTAAATTTGATGTGTTCATGGTGGGGGGAGGGAGGTGGGGGTGAATGGAGGGGTGTTGGAATGGGTGTTGGCTTGCAGAAGGGAAAGGAAGAGCAGGTTCCTTCTAAAATTACAGTTCCACATTATCATCCCACCCAGTTACAAAGGAATGAGGCCAAGGAGGGATTTGATGATAAAGGATGAAACTGGGTATCCTAGGTATCTTGTACCTAAGATGGCGCCATAAGTGGTGACAATGCAGGCTTTTTACTGCACTCTTCCGAATGCAAGTGACAACGAAGTTAATTCTAATTCTAATTCCGATTCTAGAATTCGCTTCCATTCCTTTGACCGCTCAGTTTCCATTTCTAGGGATAAGCAGTCGACCAGTATATTCACTCTCAGCTCACCCAAACCATGGGTACGTTGCTCCCTCAAGCGTCACTTCCTGTCAGAATTTTGTACCAATCTCACGGTTGCTCTGTCTCTGTGACCCACAATGCCCTCAGGGGAGGGAATTCCAGGATTTTGACCCAGTGACAGTGAAGGAATGGCAAAAAGTTTTTCCAAATTTGTATGGTAAGTGGTTTGGAGGGGAACTTGCAGGTGAGGAGCTCCTACAGAGATGTCCTGGAGCTAAGGATAACTGACCCCCAACAACCACGATCATCTTCCTATGTGCCAGGTATGGCTCCAACTAGCGGAGAGTTTGCTTCCTGATACCCGTTGATTCCAGTTTCTCTAGGGCTCCTTGATGCCACACTGGGTCGAATGCAGCCTTGATGTCCAGGGCTGTCATTCTCACCTCACCTCTGGAATTCTGTCCTTTTGTCCATGTTGAACCAAGGCTATAATGAGGTCAGGAGCTGAGTGGCCCTGACGGAACCTAAACTTGGTGTCACTGAGCATCTTGATGGAGTTAGAGCAATCGCTGTGTCCCCCCACTCTCTCTGCCCAATGTTTGTTACATTTTGTGCAATTCCTTTCAACAAACTTTTTTTTTTGGATGAGGAAGAGTTTTCCATGGAGCATACTGAACATAACCGATAAATACGCATCCACAAATGAGAAAAGCAGTCAGCTCATGTTAAAATAGGAGTGTAATCTATTGAAACGCTCACTGTGCACACTTAATTCTTTTCATCAATCAACATCCTTGCACTGAACCCTCTGTTATTACTGAGGCACCTCCAAGAAGCTTAGTCCCTTCTCTGCTCTCCTCAACAACTCCAAACTCTAAGCTAAGTCTAACTTCTTGCAAGACCTAACACTTGTTCCTCTAACTTGGAGGCTATTGTAACACCTGTCTTACACCCTTCTGTCACTCGTCATGTCCACATCGTGGCATGTCTGCTTTTCTTATGTTTTATCAATATCACTGCATCTTGCATTTTACCCTTAACATTGTCCCAAATAAGGGTGAGAGGTAAAGTGGGTAATGCTTCTTACGACAGATCCATTGTATTGGGAAAACTTTGGTTTTGTGTAAAGAGGCAGATGACTTTTACCATCTATTCTAATAATGTCCAAGCTGCACGGCATGAGATCCAATGGCAGTAGCCCTCACCCAGTGCTTTAACAGTGGGAGTAGAACTCAACCAGTGTTTCAACCATGAGCCACGACGCTTAAATTATAGAAGCCATTAGACACTCAGCAGAACCCTTTCCTAGTCCTACCTGTCTCAGTGGTACCGAGGTAGATCACAACAACAGGATCCTTCACATCTCCAATTTCCTCTCTAATCCAGAAGAGATGCCCTAAATCTTGAAATCACATACAGCTTTCAGATCTCGCTGTCTTTTCTGAACACAACATTATCTATTCCCCTAACTGTGCTATCCACTGTTATTAATACATTTCTCTTTCCTTCTCCCACAGGAATGGTTTCTGGACTACAATGCTGTGGTCAATGTGCTCAACCACCCTGCAGTCTGTACCCTTGTCCATATCAGGAGCAAGAACCTCATATCTATTGGACAAAGGGCACTAGCTGAGGTTCCTCCAAAGCTAAATTCTGGATCCCTATCCCTGCCTCACTCACAGTCACACCCTCCTGTCCTTGACCATGGACCAAATTTGATGTAACTAACCTAATGGATATGACTGCCTCCTGAAACACAGTGTCCAGGTACCCTGACTCTATCTCATGTGCCTCAGTGTCCCCGGTTCAGACTCCAGCTCATCAGCTCCAAGCTAAAGGTCATCGAGCAGCCAAGACTTGCTGCAGAAATGGTCACTATGGATCGCACCAGTGTCCACCAGCTCCCACATACTATAGCAGCAACACATCACCTACCTAGCCATCTCTATTCTACTTGATTAATGAATTTGGCAGTTGCATGTTTTAAAAGTGAATTTCTTGACTTTATTCTTCAGCTACAATAACATCTCCTGATTTAAACCACTTGGTCAATCAAAGGACACACTCTAGAACTACTCACCAATCACCTAGCTGTTTTCCCGAGATGTCACATTTCAGGTCTGACAGGTATCTCCTTGCTACAGTTCCCTTTCTATGGTAAGCCTGCGCTTCTATTTATGAAGCTCTCTCTCTTGCCTGCCACTTGTGTGGCACAAATCTTACTTACTTGAGATATTTTACTAGTCTGCTGTCTCCCCTTCTCAGTGGGCATAAAAATTCTCATGTCACCATTTCAGAGAAGGGGAGGAGAGTTTTCATCTGTGTCTCGGACCAGTTATCACTGTTATTTGTGGGGGTTTGCTGTGTCCAAATTGGTTTCTACAGCAGTGACAACATTTCAAACAATCCTTCACTGGCTGTCAGGACTTGGTGTCAATTGGAGATTGGGAAAGATGCTACATGAATGCAGTGTTGTTTTCACACAGCAAGTACAGCAGTCAAGAGGAATGGAAGTTTTCTATTTATTCTCTTTCAGTGGAGAAATATCAGTGAGGAGCCTGTGGAATTTCTCTGCCACAGAAAGCAGTTGAAGCCAAAACATTGCATGTTTTCCAGAAGGAGTTATTGGAGCTGACGGGTTCAAAGGCTATGGGGACAAAGTGGGAACAGGGTACTGAGTCAGATGATCGACTGTCATCAGATTGAATGGCAAAGCAGGCTCGAAGGGCCAAATGGCCTACTCCAGCTCCTATATTCTACATTTCCAAATACTAGAGAAGGAGAAAAAAACGATTCTGAAGAATGAGAAGAGAACTTATATTTACTTATGAGAAAGATGAACAAGTTGGGTGTCTTTTATTTGGAAAAGGCACAATAAAAAGCCTTTACAATCATCAAAAGTTTTGTGTAAATGCAGAAATAATTTTCTGCTAATGGCAATAGCGAATCTAGAGGCCATCATTATAACATCATCGACAAGCTGTTCAAGAGGGAATTCAGAATATATTCAGAGAGTGGTGAGAAGTGGAATTCACTGTCACAGGGAGTGGTGGTTGATGTGAATAGTGTGCTGTAATTAAGGGGAGACTTGACAAAAATGCGTGGGTGAAGGGAGTAGATAGTTATGATGGTAGACTTAGACATAAAAGATAGCGGGAAGTAGCCGTGGATAATAAACACCAGAAGCAATTGGTTGAGCCAAATGGCCTGTTTCTGTGTTGTATGTATAATCCAATGTAATTTTGGCATGATTGGTCTGGGCAAAATTGAATATATGTCCTCTCTTCTTTCCTGCAAGTTATGTTGCACTATTTTCAGAGAATACGTCGCAAATGCTAAATGATGTCAAAGGTCGTATATGAACACTGTGGAGCTGATGCTTTCAGTGGCCTGACTCTGCAGTATCACTGAACACCTGATGGTGGCAATGTTAGTATCTATTGGACCGCACCAAGTCCATGGTACAACTCCGGATATTTGCCGAGGTCATAATTAGTGGGAGCGGGGAGTATCTCTTCTGACTAAGAACCGTGTTGCTGGGAGTTGGCATTTTTGGGGTCAGAGCCAGAAATTCAAGCTGCAGACTAGATGCCAATTTGGCAATGCCATCTTGTTCTCTGACAATGTTGCAGCAGCTGTGATGCTATCATGAGCAACACTACCATAACAGTGCTCTCAAAGGGCTAATGTTTATTAGGCTTTGACCACACCAGCTCTGTTTGGGTGTCGCTGTAAGTTTCTGGTTCAATAAGTAGCTTGCCACCTTTTTGGCCAAGTCCGAACACAAGAGAGGAGCAAAGGGGCAAAGGTCATCCGTCAAATTTGAAGCTTTGTTCGCCTGCTGCTCATAAATCCATGGGAAATCTGCATTCCTGTCACACAAACCACATAATAAAAACCAGTAAAGATCGACTTGCATTGTTTTTTAAAAGAAATTCTTTGGTGGACTAGCCCTAATGAGATTGTGCAATGACTGATAGACAACATCTCCACAATCATTTCCCTGCAGCAATTCACTACAGTTATCTACATTTTTGCACAATGGGTATTTTAAAAATAGTCAAAATATCCAGTGTGTTTTGTTTTTTTAAAAAACAGAGATGCAGAGCTCAAAATCTTATGTAGCTGCTGACTTGAAACGAAGCATTCGTTAACAAGAAATTTTAAGTCCTTAATACAGGACTTAAACGTATCCTTAAGTTCCTCTACATGCTGTAGTTCCATTTTTTGACTTGTTTTGACTTTTACCTCAGCTCGTTCTTTGTTTGGCCAGGAATTATCCTCTTAGATGTCAAATCAGTTTCAGTTAGTAGCACTTTTGTTGCTGAATCAGAAGGTTCCAGAACTTTGGCCCTGAGAGCTCAGCTCCTCTAGTCCCAGGTGATGGGAAGGCCATCTGAGGAATTTTACAGGACAATTTGCAAGAATATCAACGTAAAGAGGAATGACATTTTATACTGGATGAGAAGAGAACGCTGATTGGTTTGCAATTGGACTCTGATTGGTAGAGATATTGCCAAGGCGAACATTTTTAAACCTGCTTCACTCCGAGAGCCTGTGATATAACAGCAGCCACAGCTTTAAAGAGGATCCTAAGAACAGGAATAGGCCACTTAGCCTCTCAAACCACTTGAT